CCTCTCTCCATTTTTGGTTAGTTGAAAAACCAACACTAATTAATACCACTCGACTAAGACAAATCGAAAGCTTTAAATTGCTTTTTTAAGAAATTCCCAAATTTGGCTTTCAAGGTTCTACGTTCACATTCTTTCAAGTACTTCACAAATACAAAACCATATTAACTTTTGTCTGAAACATGGACGGAACTTATGGCATTACAAAGATTACTCAATGTTGTATTTGAAATATTTGACTATAATGGTGATGTTTGCAAATTCAATTCTTTTACAGAAAAAAAAAGAGAAATCACAAAATGATCCACCCATCAAATCAGTAGTGTTTGCGGTCAACGACTGATTAGGAAGCACAACTTACCATAGCAATTTCCCTCCATTGTCACATATTGCACATAAATTATCAGTAGCATCACCACCACCACCATCATCATTGTCAATATCATCACCATCATCGTTGCTATCATCATCGGTGCAGCTGTAATCATCACTGCTCTTGTCATCACCACTGCCATGGTTGCGGCTAGCGTCATATTTGCAGATATAATCATAATCGTTGTTGTCACTGTAATCATCATCACCATCATCATCAAAGTCTTCTTCGTCACCACTACGTATTGCAACAGTCGGCCGTCTGGTACGTAAAACCTGTAAAATGGGATTCAAATGAGAAGTGAAAACAATGATACAGCAGCAAGACTTCACAATATTTTAGAGATCTGAAAGATGCATATCTAAGGTCATTCTCAATCTACCTCTCTGATGTCCCTGGAGGTATTCTCAACAAACCTTTCAAGAATTTGTGAGTGCAAAAAAAAAAAAAAAGAACAGTCATGGTCATGGCACAACCACCCATTGAATTACAGAGAACATTTGTAAATACCAGCAGAGTTCCTAGTCATTGAAAATAATAACAATGTAACTCCTTGCAATATTCTTGGGGATTTCGCCCAAGCAGATTGGATTCAAAGGTTGTTGTAGCTGCGCTCGACAAGAACGGGGTACTAACCCCTTCAACCAGAGCAAAGGGAGGTCAGGGAATTATCTGCTTTACTCATAGTGCTCCATGCCCGTATACAAGCCATGTAAACAAACCTTACAAAGGAACAAACTGGGCTAATCCCCGGGTTCAGGGAAACATACCCAACTGAAAGGGAAACTAATCCATAGCAAGAAAGGCATGTCTTTTGTACATTGAAACCCTAGTGCTAACTTTACTGTCTTAAAAACAAACCAATCACATCCTAAACAAGTACTGTACAGCAGTACAGCACTACAATCTACAAGATGTCAGTGAAGAAAACATGTCCCAAATACTCCAAAGTTCCAACTTCCAACAGAAAATTTGCACATAACAACGAAACAATAGTACAATTGCAAAAGGAACGATGATCTTGACGGGATAATTATCTGTGGAATTTGATGAAGTGCGATCTAGCACTTGGGCACTGGATCATATAACGCCGCAACTCCCCCGTCCTCCGAAGAACGGCCGTATTGGGGGAGGAGAAGCTTGATGTGAAGCAACAGATGATAGGGGACTCACCATCTCTCCCGGCGCCTGACCGGAGCGCCGCCGTCAGTCGTCCGGATTCGGGAAGGGCTAGGGCAGGGCCAAGGCGCTCGGCGGAGGTTGGCGAACGCCGGTGAAGGTTCGGGAAAGGGCGCGGTGGAGGCAGGCACGGGTGGCGGACGGCGGGATCGACGCGGTGGCCGGCGGGAGAGGCGGCGGGCGGGCGGCGGCGCTGGGAGAGGCGGTGAGAGCGCAAGGTGACAGTTCCTTCTTTTTTGTCCTCCCTATGGAGTAGTGCTCATTTATTCTTTTTTTTAGGATACTAGTTTTTTTTAGGCCCTGATGGGCTGGGCTGCGGTGGGCAGGTGGCGGGCTTGTTTGTGGCCGAATCTGGGCAAGCGGCCTGCCAGGTCGCAGTCGATAGCCCTAAAATCTCTCCAAACCCCCCGCTGTACCGCCGCCGCCGTCACCGTCGACACCCCAAACCCCCACTCCCCTCCCCAATCACCACGGCCTCTCCCGCACCGCCGCCGTCGCCGTCGCCACACCGTCCGCAGTCCTTGGCCGCTGACTTCCGAGGTACGAAGCTCGCTGTCCTGTTTCCTTCCAGCGATTTGTGCAACCCCGCTGTCCTTCACAGCTCGCGGATCCGCCCCCTGATTCTAAACTGCACATTTGTGGCTGGGATTGGTAGCACCGTCTAATCCGCCGGTGTTCGCCGCAGGATTCGCTGCGCCATGACGAGCCTGATATCCCAGAACGCGCTCCAGAAGCGCCGCCTGGAGAAGGACGACGACAGCAGCAGCGATGAAGAGACCATGGATTCCCCCGTCGCTTCGGATGCAGAGGCCGGGAAGAAGCCCAGGCCGGAGGATCGCAGGAAGGACCGGAAGAGGAAGAAGAAGGCGCTGCAGGCCAGGCAGGGCCAGGAGGCCGATGAGATGAGGCGGCTGGAGAGCTCTCTGTTTGGCAACATCTACACACCGCTGGAGTTCGGCACCGAGGCCGGGGCTGCCGTGCCGGCTCGTGACCAGGATGATGATGCTCCCTTGTTCTTCGTGGACCGGTCTGCCGGCGACGACCTGCCTGTTTATGAGGAGGATCTGGGCAGTGAGGATGAGGTGGTTGATAAGGGGAGGAAGCCCGCCTGGGTGGATGAGGAGGAGGATAGCACCGAGGTGGACATCCTGAAGGTTGCCAGGCTGAGGAAGCTGAGGAAGGAGGCTGATGAGCGCGTGATCTCGGGCAAGGAGTATGAGGCTCGGCTGCGCGGTCACCACGCCAAGCTTAACCCCTTCACTGGCTGGGCGGATATGGACCGTAAGGCTCCTCTCCGTGACGGTGACTCCAATGAGGAAGAAGGTGGAGTCGACAATATGCTTCGGAGCAATGATGAACTTGTCGTCAAGGGCACTGCTAAGCTCCTGCCTGGCATGTTGGACTACTCAAGGCTTGTTGATGTGAATGCTCAGGATCCTTCCAGTGGTCCTATCAATTCAGTGCAGTTTCATAGGAATGGTCAGTTGATGCTTGTTGCAGGCCTGGACAAGCATCTGAGGTTTTTCCAGATTGACGGCAAGAGAAACCCCAAGATCCAGAGCATATTTGTCGAGGACTGTCCAATTCAGAAGGCGGCCTTTCTACCTGATGGCTCTGAGGTGATCCTTTCCGGCAGGAGGAAGTTCTTCTACTCATTTGATCTGGTGAAAGCTGCTGTTAGTAAGATTGGACCCTTGACTGGGCGTGAGGAGAAAAGCCTGGAGAGCTTTGAGATATCCCCTGATTCAAGAACCATTGCGTTTATCGGTAACGAGGGGTACATTCTGCTGATATCTTCCAAAACAAAGCAGCTCATTGGAACCCTCAAGATGAATGGTAGCGTGCGTTCGCTGGCCTTTGCGGACGGTGGAAACCAGCTGCTAAGCAGCGGTGGGGACGGCCATGTTTACCACTGGGATCTCAGAACAAGGAAGTGTATGCACAAGGCTGTTGACGAGGGCTCCCTATCAGGCCTTTCCCTCTGCACCTCCCAGGACAGCTCTTACTTTGCCACAGGCTCCAGCAGCGGCATCGTGAACGTGTACAAGAGGGACGAGTTCCTCGGCGGGAAGAGGAAGCCACTGAAGACGATCGAGAACCTCACGACTGAGACGGGCCAGATGAAGTTCAACCACGACGCCCAGATCCTGGCCATAAGCTCGAGGAAGGACAGGAACGGGATGAGGCTCGTGCACGTCCCGTCCTTCACCGTGTACCAGAACTGGCCGGGGCCTCGGTTCAGCCTCCAGTACCCGAGGTGCCTGGACTTCAGCCCGGGCAGCGGGTTCCTCTCCATCGGACATGCTGGCGGAAAGGTTTTGCTGTACAAGCTGCACCACTATCAGAACGCTTAGGGCTCTCGCGATCAAGTTTTGCCACTGTATTTTTCTGCTTCCAGAGAAAACCCGTGATGTTATCTGTAACGTGATTCTTCTTAAACCCTCTTGCCTTGTGAGTGCTGTTGTCACAGATATTTTAATGCTCAATGCAATACCCTGCTAGCTCTTTTCTGGTACTCATGTTGCCTGTGCCCGTTGTTTGAGTGAAGAATTTCATCTTACTGTTTAAGAAGTTTGGTGGTGTGGCTGGAGAAAAGAAGGAGCTTTTAGAACGTTTGGTTGCAGCTCTAAACGGTTGTTTCATCAGGTGGCTGAGATTCTGTTTGTGATCTGGTGAGTTGCATCCTGTATTTGTGTTGTTGCAGTAGCATATGACATCGGCCAAGTAATGTAAGCATGCAACTCTTCTGGCAAGGATGCTTTCTGTTGTAGAATTTTGAAACGTGGAATTTATTTTCAACATTATACAAACAGTTTGGGAGCTAACTGCATCGCTGAAACATCAACTTGACATCATCAGTTTACAAGTCACCACTAATCTCTCTGGAACATGTCTGCTATTTATGCGACAGTATTATGTTCCTAGCATGCAGGAGCCAGATGGTTCCGTCCTATCCAGAATAGTTATGCATAATATGTACTCCCTCCGTTCCTAAATATTTGTTTTTTTAGAGATTTCAAATAGACTACCACGTACGGATGTATATAGACACATTTTAGAGTGTAGATTCACTCATTTTGCTTCGTATGTAGTCACTTGTTGAAATCTCTAGAAAGACAAATATTTAGGAACGGAGGGAGTAAAAGACTATTGCTGCGCGTGATCATGTCTTATGGAACAAACCATAGCTTTTATGACCAATAAGGAAAAGACATAAATTTAGGAACGAAGGGAGTACTAGTTTGTAGCTTTAAAACACAGAGGGTTTACATGTATCCAATCGTGTTCAGTTTATAGGATGCTGCCGGAACACAGCTGCCTTGTGCCTGCACAAGCTTGCATCCTGCTCTGTAACTTCACCACCTATGTTCTCTTCATGAATGCCTCTAGCTCACTGGCGCAGCTCTCCCTGCCTTTCATCTGGTAAATTGCATTCTTGGCTAACAGCATGTTTTCGCCTTCGCTGTCCTCACTCTCAGATGTCCATTTCCTCCTTGCAACCTTATTCTACCCACATCAATGATTGTTTCACTATGTTCAACAGGTGACCGTGATTCTGTTGGTGATCTGGTTAGTGAGGGACTACTGCTAGTGCTACCGGCCCGTTTAAAAGTTTTTCTTATTTTTCCCTCAAAAAGGTTTTTCTTTTTTTCTTTCTTTTACACTGATATTTTTGTCTTTTCTGGATGGATTGGATAGGGCTGTTTTAGCGTGGTGGGCACGTGTCATACGTAAGCACGAGAGGACTTTCAAGCAGGATGTTTCGATTTCCCTGCTACAGTTAATAAAACATTTCCTAACCACAAGCAATTGCTGGATTTATCCTTATAGTACAGTACAGCCCATGTTGTACTTCTCTCTTTTTTCGGGGAAAACACATGTTGTACTCGACTGCTTTGAAAACACTAACGCTCATACGTGTGGGCATTAGCCAACTCGCTCACACGCGTCGATCGTCGTCCAGTGCCTTTTGCACGAATCTTGGCACAAAGAGGTTGATTTTGTGTGCCACGTAGGACAAGTCGCATGTGTGGCGTGTAAGAGAGTTCGCCCGCACGCCGTTTTCCCTCCGAGGTTAGCGGTTGCGAGTCGAGGGCGTGCGGTGGAACCGCCGCCACGCCCGACTTCGGTTGCCGTCTCCCACGTCTCGCCACTTCGCTCTGCCCTCGCGGTTCAGTTACTCCCCTCCCCATTCATTACTCCCAACCCACCCATTCACACCAGTTGCATTCGATTGAGGAGAAACCGAGAGGAGAAGGTGACGGCGACGGCGGAAG